ATTTTGAAGCATTTGAAGGAAAAGGGGGGGAAGAAAATGAAGAACTCAGTATCTGAACAGAGTTTCTACTTGGAAAGTGAGGGAGAAGAAGAAGATGATGAAGAGGAAAAGCTCTACGAGAAAAGTGAAATAGACGGTAACGATTCAGATTATTCGAACGAAGACGAACATATGGAACAAAGCAAGGCTGGTTCTTTAGACCCCTCTTGGCCTCAGAGTTACAGGTGAAAAATCCTCTGCTTCTTTCTTTCCACTGTTATTTTATGTCCATTTAATCATATGTTGAGATGGGGAAAATCCCAAATTTGATTTATAGTGTGCTGCTCGTTTTGATTGTGATGAAGACGAGACCACGATTGCTGTTTCTTAGATAAATATGATCGTCTTGTTTATCTTTCCCACTCGTACGCTCCCTACATCAGACTGTAATTCGATAAACACGTTTTTAGCTAGTTAGATAAACAAATATGAGTGAAAGATCACTTTTTTCACCTCAAGGGAAAGGTCGAATTGAAGCTCGATTATCGGCAATGAACACATTTTGAAGAGTTTTAGCTCATTTTCATTGGTCATACATTATGTTTGGAATCTGATGTGTGAAATGATGTGCATAATAATGATCTTATAGTTTTTGTGATCTCGGACAATCGAACTATAAATTGCTTATTTTCTTGTTTCTAGAAACTATTTCCGGTTTATGAACTGCAGTTTATAAACCTTTTCAAGTGAATTTTCACCCAAAACCGCTAACTTTTCGAAGATAGTGATAAAGTTAAAAATTTACAGGCAATCTATGGACTTGTACGGGAGTGTCCCATCAGCAAGTCTAAACTTTCTGGGCCCACAATCACTTTCGAGGATCGGGAGCTCATTCCTCTCATCGTCCTTTGTAAGAAAACGGACCCCAGAGGTTTTACCGTCCGTAATTAAGCCACTGATTGTGCCTTCAGAGCCTGAGAAGAGCAGCTCTCATCATCTTCTTTCACCTACACTTTCTAGAAGGTCCAGCTTAAGAAGAGCTGTTCTTGATAAAAGGGCATCGATCGAACACTTTATCCCGGTTTCTAATCGGAGTACATTCGGGCAGGCAGTGATAAATGGTTTGTTTTTGCTGATCTGGATTTTCTTGATTTTTCATTTTTTGGTATATTTAGTGTCTTTTTATTTTGCAACAGGCATGAATGTGATATGTGGAGTTGGGCTCCTTTCGACACCGTATGCTATGAAAGAAGGAGGCTGGTTGGGCCTTTGTATACTTATGATGTTTGCTGTACTTTCTTATTACACTGGAATTCTATTAAGGTCTTGTTTGGATAGTAAACCGGGCCTCGAAACTTACCCGGATATCGGCCAGGCTGCGTTTGGCACTACCGGACGTATACTTATATCTGTATGTACATTTTCTTTTTTTCTAATTTTCTTTTTTTTTTTTTTTTATCAAAAATGAAAATGTTCTTTAGTTATCTGATTTATTTATTTATTTATTTATTTATTTATTTTGATGATTTGTGGATGCAGATTATCTTATATGTGGAGTTATATGTAAGTACTTACCTTGGCAAACTTGAGAACTTAATAAATTCCAAACTTTCTGTATATTGATCACTAAATTAATCTTCACCATCATTATCCTATTTTGCAGGCTTGTTGTGTTGAGTACATTATTTTGGAGGGTGATAACTTGTCATCCTTATTTCCCAACGCGCGTTTACACATAGGATTGATTGAGCTAAACTCTCCCCATCTTTTTGCATTGATCACAACGCTTGCAGTTCTTCCTACCGTTTGGTTACGAGATTTGAGCATCCTCAGCTACATTTCTGGTACAATAGCGAATTTAAATTGATATGTTAATGTAATATCGAATTAAGGAAAATACAAAAAGTTAGTTAGCCTTTAATTTTTATTTTTTGATAATTTATTTATCAGTCGGAGGGGTGATTGCATCGATATTAGTGGTTGTTTGTTTGTTCTGGACGGGATTAGTGGATAACATTAATATGCATGCCAAAGGATCGACTATAAACCTCTCGAGCCTTCCGGTTGCGATTGGTTTATATGGTTTTTGCTACTCGGGCCACGCTGTTATTCCCAACATTTATTCGTCCATGGAAAAGCCGAGCCAATTCCCTTCTGTTCTTCTCATGAGGTAAACAGTTAGCAGTAAAAAGATAAAAATGATTTTTTTTTCTTTACACATTCGCAAAGAAGGCATTAACAATGTCGAATAACCGTGTTTTTTTGAGCAGTTTTGGTATTTGTACTTTGATGTATGCTGGAGCTGCAGCTATGGGTTACATTATGTTTGGTGAGACTACACAATCACAGTTCACACTCAATATGCCGAAAGATTTAACTGCCTCCAAAATTGCTGTTTGGACTACGGTGAGTTCGATTTTTATGTCGTATTTTATCTCGATTTTTATAAATTTTTAGACCAAAGATCCGTTACAAAAGAGCTGGTTTTTTTATATGAAATAGTTAAGCCATGCTCGTCTAATTGAAATCGTACTTCCATTTTGCAGGTTGTCAATCCATTTACAAAATATCCTTTCTACATCCGATTGTTCGAATTTCGGTGATATCTTCCTTCGAAGAAATGAAAAAGGAGAAAGCTTATTTACACAAATACATGAAGTAAATTGAATTAAAAATGCAAAATAAATAAACAAATAAATATTTTTTCCTTAATCACAAACACATATGCATTAACAATGTCCCCTGTAGCAATGAGCCTTGAGGAATTAATACCATCAACACATCACAATTTCCAGATGTATTCAGTCCTCATAAGAACAGCTTTGGTCATATCTACATTGCTCGTGGCTCTTAGCATTCCCTTCTTCGGTAAATTACAGAATATATAAAAAGTTATTATAAATTGTATTGTTCTTTACTACTTAATTTGTTCTGTTATTTGGCTAATATAAACGAGTAACTAACAAAAATTGCATCGTTCGTGATTATTTTTGTCGGTTATATTGGCTGATTATCGTAACTTTTTTGTGACTTGCAAGGTCTCGTGAGTGCACTAATCGGTTCTTTACTCACAATGCTAGTCGTAAGTTCTTTCTTACATCGATTTTTACGTATTGCTTGTTTTCTATGCATGCACTTCTAATTAGACGTATTTCCGGTTCACTCAACTTTTCTCCCTTTCGCAGTCGTTAATTCTTCCGTGTGCTTGCTACTTGAGGATCTTAAATGGGAAAATCAACATATTTCAGGTAAAATAATCACCAACATTTGCTATTATTCACACCAAATCAAGAAAATAGTATATATCTCAATGATTTGCAACTTTTTTTTATTATAAGTTTGTTTTTCCCTGATTTTCTTATATATATTTTTTGCTCGTTTTGAATTGCAGAGATCGATCTGTGTGTTGGTGATTGTTGTCGGAGTTGTAGCTTCTGGGATTGGTACGTATTCGGCGCTTTCCAAAATTATCGAGAGTTTGAGCTGAAAGACTTTTTTTTTCTATTTTTTTTTTAATTTTATTTGTAGTAGAGGTTTCATTAAGAGGGCCTTTTGATCTGTCTGTATCATTTATTTTATTTATTTTTATTTTTTATCAATCAATGTTGCTCAAAATTTTGATTTTCAGTATGAAAGTGAATATATGTGACATTCAAATTCATTGTGATGGCATTTTCAGTATGAAAGTGAATAATAATAATAATACAGTACTATTCCAACAGTGAAGTTCATTAATAATCCATATTTAACAACAGTCATCAAAATTGTTCTGTACATAAGAGGCAACTATAAATGTATCAAGTAAAGTTAGTTGTTGTAGTATAACTGTATAACATTCCGAAAAATTCCAAAATATGTCACGATTAATTCACGCCCCACCACCGCCGTTTCTTTTTCTTACTCTCCACAACCGGAACTTCTGCACACAGATATCACAAAAACGAGAGTCTTATAAAAAAGCCATTCGATGAATGCAGACTGCACAATGAAGAAATAAAACTATGTACCTCCTAATGGATAGATTGAATTATAGTGCACCTCAGCCCAAAAGCTCAAGAATATAACTGCAAATCATAAAAAATGGATAACAATTGTGAGAGCCTTTTTCTTTAACGTTTTCGAATTCAACTTTGTTTAGTCATCAGCAAAACGATCCTTCTAATATTATTGAAAAAATAAAAGAGAAAAACGTAAAAGGCGAAAGAGTAACCAGCAACAACAAACTTACTTCTATTTGACTTTTCAGTTTGTGGAAGAATCTCGATGTAGCATGTATCCTTAAACGACGTAATCACAAAGATCTTGATGCCATACTGTAAAAAAAATAAAGTAAATAAATAAATTGGGGAAGGATGTATAATTTGGTTTAATTATCAAAATGTTAGGACCATCATGCAAGAATTCCACAAGATTAGGCTACAAGTCAAAGGCAAACACAGTCATGCAAGCCAAAAACCACTTAATGTAAGCTAATTAAAGATGAAATTGTGCTAAATAAAGGTAATTCAAATAAAAACTTTAAGGATCCCGAAAATTACAATGAACAAGGAGACTTATATGTGTTGCTGTTTCATCCAAAATTGGAAGTAATGAATTTGTTTTAGAAAAAAAAAAAAACAATTGGAGAATGATCGGGGGAGATTTTTTAAAATCATGATTCAATTTGTGCAGCTTGAATTTTTTCAAGCAAGCAGATTTTCGATGTTGAATATTTTAGTGCTAAGAAACCAGTATATTTTTTTGAGATAGATGACAAGGTCTATCAGTTATACTTGATTATAAAAGTTTAATCAATAAATCAGAAAAGCTAAAATCATATTTATAGTTTTAACATTTCTTAACCAAAAAAAAA